AAATGAAAATGCTCAAAACCCCAAAACCCCAAAACCCCGAGTGTAAATTATTGCACTGATAAATCTCTATTAATAAATATTTCTTAATTAAACCCCAGCTCAAATATCTGAAAATCATTTCTTAGCTTGTGCCTTGTCTTTGGGTTTTTGAGCATTTTCATTTGGCTTTTGTCTTTTATTTTATTTGCTCCCGATTCTTAGCATTGCATTTTCTCTCTTGGTTTACCTCTCCATATATAATTTTCTTGATTCTTCTTTTTTACTCTTTAACTCTTCTCTCTCTTTCTATTCTGGAGTCTTTAACTCCTCAGTTTTTTCTCCCTTTTCCTTCTATTAATTGTTCTTTTAGAGTTCCTTTTGCTCTCTCTTCTTTTTCTGCTTCTTTTCTAATCTCTTTGGTTCAACTGCTTTCTTTACTCTTAACTCTCTTCCCTTAAAGAGACTTCCACTCTTAGTATCAACTGCCTTTCTCATTTCCTCTTTCGTTGAGAATTGGATATAGCCAATGCCTTTGCCAATAAAGTTCTCCTTGTCTCTAATAAGTCTGACATTCAAGATCTTTCCACATTCTTCAAAGTGAGATCTAACATCTTCTTCATCTAAAACCCAAGGTAAATTTCCAATAAAGACAGTGCTATCAAAATCCTTTTATGAATCTTCTAGGTCTACTCTAATGTGTTTTCCTCCTATCTCAATTTGATTTAAGTTCTATGCTGCTTTGTGAGCATGCTCCTTAGTCTTGAAAAGCACGTAGGCATTTTTGCTTTACTTTTATTGTCCGAACTCTCCACTAATAATCTTTCCCTTATGAGTCTTCTTTGATTCATGATCACAAGCAATAGATCTAAACCAGATGTGCTCAATATCACCATACTTCTTGAACAGTTTCTACAAATCTTTATTGGTTGTTTCAAGGGGAACATTACCAACAAAGGTTGTCCTCTCTTTTCTTTCCTTAGTCTCGACCTCTTTTTCTTCATCTGTTTTCTTGGGCTTATCTTTTTTATCTTTCTTTTTATCTTTAGATTTATTTTCACTTTAAGTTTCTTGTTCTGCTTATACTTTCAACTCTGGTTGTTCTATTTCTACTTCTTTTGACTCAATTTCTTTTTCTGCTGGTTTTGCATCCTATTTAGATTCAACTTTTTCAAGGTTCACTTTTGATATTTTCTCTTAAGGTTCCTGCTTTATTTCTTTCTGTTCTTACCTTTCCTTCTTTTTGTCTTTGTTTTAATTATTTTTTCCCATTTTTATATTTAATACGATTCTATTTAGCAATCATCATAATAACTGTACTGCGGGGTTTTGGGGTTTTGGGG